AGCGAGTGGATTACCACCGCGGGCAAAAGCGCTCCACCACCGCAGTAATGAGCCACACAGCACCGCTGCACTGAGCCAGGTTCATGAACAAAACACAGTTATATAACACCGCACAATCCGGGCTCTGTTTACAAGGCTGCAGGCCTAGCTGAAATACTCAGGCATCAATGAAGGTCACCAACTTAGAGCAGTGTCTAAAGATTACTTCGTGCGGCTATAAATGACCGTTGAATGAAATGATGAATTTTTGAAGGATTTTGAAAACGGAAAAAATGATAGTCATGCCGGCCCAGCATCATCAACGTTGAAAAATGCCCCGGCACAAAGTGGTTAAGCATACATCATTTCCATGATTCGTTGAATACAGTTCTGTGAAAAAGTATGTATACTGTCCACATTTTACTTACATACCAAATAACTATATTCAATGACCAAAGTAATAACATCTCACCAAAATCAACGACCCTTGAGGATTTTTGAAGTGAATGCAGTAAATATAACATTACATTTTGGTTTGTTTACACATTCAATGCTCTGGAATACACATCTAGGTAAATATGTGGGGGGTTCAGGAAGACACCATTAAAACAGACTTGCACAAATAATTTACCATCTTAATTTGTCTACCTACGAAAAGCGAGTTCAATTCTAAAACAATGAACAATGTCAAATTCACAAAGGCATTTTCCTTTAATAATTTCACCAAAATCATCAGGAAACACATCCACATGTACACACTTGCCTATTGGCCCGATGTGTGCAATTCTTTTCCCGATTATTGCTTATATGCCTGATACCCATTTTTGCCCGCAACACGCACTTATTGGGTTTACCATTGCCAACCAATAGTAGGAATCGAAATAGGCTCCAGTGCACATGTTGTGTGCACGGACCGTTTTGTGTACAAAAACATGGTTCCTTGTCTCCCGATCAAAATGATGAACCTAAAAGATTTCTATCCCCAGGGACCACACTATTTCAATTGTTTTTGGCATGAATGGACAGCGTTTGAGTTGCCCAAACCATTAACTGCTTATCCATGACAAACCTTCCGTGACCAAAAAAAAAAAAAAAAGTTAAATTTCCTGGGGGTTTCATCTGTGAAAACTAAATGGCTTAAATTTTAAGGCTTTCCCTGACATTTCCAAGAAAGGTCTTGTTTTTGAAAAAAACATGGATCAGAAATACCTCACAAAGAATGAGGTTTAAATCATGAGTGTGGGTGCATTTGACCGCAGCGCGATAAGTGCATGCAGGGTCCGGCGGCTGGTCAACTTACTGGTCTGTGCGCAATAGCTTAGCATGTGCCAGGGGCGGTACACGAGTGGATAGAGACTGCCTTTTGTGATTTTCTCCATTGTTGTGATGAGTTCATGGATAGCACAAAGCACTTTTTTCCAAAGAAATAATAGATATTATTCTTTGAGAACTTTTCTGACTTTCTCCTGTCAATTTCAATTTAAAAGGTACATTCAAACACAAATCTACATGGTTTGAGAGATATTTTGGCAACTGTGCAGCTAGCCATGTACATGACATACACAGTCGAACCTCGTTAATGGTTAGTTCCAGAAATCAGGGGTCCAAAAGTGTGACATTTGAGTCCCTGTTACACCTGACGTTTGTTATTTGACATGGAAAAAGTAGTACTATTTGCTTGGCAAGTAATTATTAATTTATCACTCTTGAAAAGTATAGTTTATAAATTCAGTTAAACTTACACATGCATCAGCAAGTACTAGATGTAGGCCCAACCAGTGTAATGCACATCGATGCACTGAGGAAATTGAAAACGGCTGAATATTCTGCTCCAACATTAACTTCGTTCTGCTTCACTTACCACAGTAAATGACAATAAATTAATAGACAAATCACTATGAGAGGGAGGCAATCACACTAAAATATAGACCTTTGCAACACCTGTCAATCAAGAGGTATGTCAATTCGAATTCATTTTCCAATTTTTTGCGATGTAAACATATTTAAAAAACTGAAAATCACACATAATTGCAATATACCTGTAGCACTTAAACAATGTAGTTACTTTTAAATCTGTCATTTTTCCATGAAAAATCACTTGTGAAAAGCTCAGGAAAAACTCTAGAATGCACAAGAGAGCATCTAAAGATTAAAATTTGGGGGGCCCTCAAGCTGGCCCTGAACCCCATGCCATGGCTTTGCAATTTGTCAGTGAACAAAAACAGAATACCCCCACACTTTTAACAAATCCTGGTCACATTTTCTACTTGCCAAATAGGATCACAGTTTTGAAATTCAAAGTAGTGGTGTTGAATAAACTGATAGGAATGAACTGACAGGAAGCTGGTATTCATGGGGAGTGCAGAAACTGGCGACGTCGCCCAGCCATCCTTGCCTCCAGTTCCTTGCGTGTGTGATTATCAGCACTTCTGGCAGCAGCAATGTAGGAAAATACACACAGCATGGCATAGCCAATGTCATGTGCCATGTTGGACTGAAACTTGTGACGAACTGTTTCTTTACGTTTTGGATCTGCAGAGGTAAGCAGATAATTTCACATGAAATGGCAGAAATTCCTCCATAGCAGTGAGGGGAAAGAACACTACCCAACAGCACTCTTTTTACACGAGTCACTTACTCACCATGCTCAAATCTCTCCATTAATTAGTACAGTAATAATCAACAAAGCATGGGAACCTGAAGAATTCAAGAGTGTAAGCATCTGTTCCCTATGACATTTGAGTAAATGGCCTGTCAGTACTAAGGAAATATGCACAGGTAAATGCTATTTGGGTAAGATAAATACCCCAGACACTGCACATTTCTTATCAGAATGACTAAAAAGAAACTAAACCAGAGAGATATTTAAAGGAAATGTTTCATGCCAAATGACAAAATTATGTACTCTTTCAAAACAGCATCTTCAATCTGCTAACAATAAATTCCTTACCTTCAAAGAGTGCATTTCTATTAACAGAATAAGTTCACAAATAAAAAGGGCAGGAAGTTTAAACCTCAGACCAATATGGTGTTGTGAAAAACACAAGACGTGTGCATTTCAAGTTTAAGAATGGGTAGGTACATGTGCACGTACATGTAGTTCCACTGATGGCACCTCCTCACAGTCCATATCCACTTGTCAAACGTCTGACTTTCACAGTCAATTTTACTCAAAACATTGTGAATATAACCATGCTTTCAAATTTTGAATTGAAAATACTTGAAAATAAAGTGTTGATGGTAAGAACATTCCACGAAAGGATGAATGGAATGTTCCATTCCAAAAACAGAAGCTTCACCTCATGGTATGGAACATTCAATTTGTAACCTCCACAGCAAAAATGCAAAACAATACAGCATTAGCTTTACACTATTCCCAAATAAATCCTTTTTATGTACAAGCCACTGTTCTCTTTCTCAAATTGGAGCAAAACTGTCACACAAATTTAGTTGTCACATTGCAAGTTTGCTACTGCGTCTTCAAAAGACAACCTAATGTTTGCTTTACCCATTTCAGAAAGCTAATATGATATACCAAAGTCTGACCAATCACACTTGAATATTAAATAAGGAAAATTATAGGGCTTAATTCCAAATCCTTTTACTTACCATACTCTGCAAGCATAAAGATATCTTTCTTTGTTTTGTATTCCTTGATATCTTTCAGTTCGATGAACCACTGAAAAAAGGAAACACATAAACCCCTTAGTTTTGATCAGCTATTTGGAAAAATGCAAAATTAAGATGATCTACCTTTTCCATTTAAAACTAGATACTTGAAATCCTAAACCCGGTTTTCCAGCTCACCTTGTGTCAATATGTTTTTTATGAGCACTTCAGCTTGGTTATCAAGTGTATTTGATAGCTCATTGCTACCAATATGATCCAGCAAGTAAATGTTCAATGTAGATGTATGTATCATCTGCATTTTCTGATCTCATTTTAAAACCAAAATTGTGCCTTTTTGTGGCCATGGCAAAAATTTGTGTCAAAACTGTTGCAATGAAAGAGTGTCCATACAAGAGTTATTATGACCCAAAATGTTCCACTTGATTATTTTTGACCAAAAAAATTAATGATACATGTGTACGTTGCCCATTACTCTTCATCACCACTCTATTACCTTTCCTAAGAATATTAGATCATGAAAATTGGTCAAACAAAACTAAACATACACCGGATTGTGTAAAAGGTGGCATGTTTCTGTGTTTTGCGTCAAGTGCAATAAAAATGGTGAATTGCTTTGGTTGTAAGAAAAAATCAAACATGACCTTACATCATATGAACTTGCAGAGTGTTGTTTCAAAGTTTTCTCTTAAATTATATTGAATAAATTCAGTACATGTAACATTCCCAAGTAACACATGTTGGCCCTAAATCAATATTGTTTCAGAAAAAATGTTAACGAGGCACAACTACATGAGTTTATATAGTTTTATTTTTAAAAGTTTATCTGATTGGTACAGAACAATTGAAAGGCCAATATCCTTAACCACATGCTGCCGGGAGCCAAGTTTCAGATACGTATTCTTTATATGCGCAGCCGGGTATCCGTAATCAGACAAAGGCCTTGTAACAAAAGACCGTACTCGTAACAAAAGACCAGGCTGCTGGCAATTACAAACTTTTTTCACCGTCAATAGCAGAGATCATGCAGCTTTTTCTTTGAAACAGTATACACTGTTTCTGGCAGGGCGAGGGCGAGGGTATTACCACCGGGGACAAAAGCGCTCCACTACTGCAGTGACGAGCCACGCAGTACGGCTGCACACTAATCTGGCCCCTATTTGAAAAGACGTCAGCAGGGCACTGTGCCAGTTTTGTGAATAAAAGAAAATTACGTAACAACGCACAATTTGGGTTCTTTTACAAGGCAGCGGGCCTGAATGAAATACTCCAGCATCAATAGATGTTGTCTCTCAGATTAGAGTAGAAACCAGACAGTCCTTCATGTGGGTGTAAGTGTTCAGTAAATGAAAATATGAATTTTTAAAGAATTTTGAAAACACAAAAAAATGAAAAATGCTCCGGCCCAGCAGAATGAACATTTATAAATGCCCTCGGCAGGATGTGGTTAAGGAGACAATTTCTGTTGGGAGGAAAGCTGGAACAGCATTTTTGGGGACAACAATTTGTTACTTCAATTATTCTTTGGTATTGAGAATGTTGATATTTCAACAAATCTGTAGTCCCCATAACCCTGTAAAAAGTATGTATACATGTATAGGTAACAAAAAATGTTAATGTAGAATTGGAAACGGTGAAATCATAATCGTACATTTAATCAAATATATACAATTTTAAAACATAAATGTATAATAGTGATAAAATGTGATAGGTATGCACCGTGTAGAATTACCACTAGGGTAAGCAAAAGAAAAAAATTGAATTAATCGTAGTTTATTACATGTTTGATTTCTTTTTTTCAAATTCATTTTTGGCATTGTTTTGGTTATTTTCTTTCAACGTTTTACAAAACATTAAAAAAGGTAGAATTTCTTCGATTCTTCTGTAGAGATCGCTATACCATTGGGGTGACCACCACTCATTAATGTCTTAATAAAAAGATCATGATCTAGGTTTCCTTACTTTTATATTCTTTCCTGGTGGGGGCCGGAGCAACAATGTTTGGGTGTACCCTATTCATAACATGGAATGGAATGTAAACACATCTCCGGAAAGCAAATGAATAGGCCCTACATTGCCCATTGTGCTCACATATCATTTTGTGCCCACATATCATACTGTGCCCACACAGCACCACCCAAAGGTAGCACCGTATGTCCAAATACCATTGGCCTAGCCAAGCTGTCACTTATCTGGTTCCTTGGTTATGTACAGTGTTATGTACCACTACTTAAGTCGGACACCTGACTATAATTCAACAGAAAATACTCTTGGGCATTTCATCTTTTATTTTGTTCATAACTTTGGGGAAAAATTGGTCAGGTTGAACCATTCCTTAATTTAACCACTTGCTGGAGGGAACCCCATTTCGAGCACCATGGGTTTATACACAGAGCTTGGGTGTCGAAACGGGACAAAAAAGCTGGTCTGTGTAACAAAAGACTGTACTTAGAACAAAAGACCTGCTGCTGGGAATTGCCGTCATTTTCCAGGTTGCATTTTTGAAGGTAATCCGTCACTATTTTTAAACAGTACGCCACTGTTTTGGGCATAGCGCGCCAGTGGGTTAACACCGCAGACAAAAGTGCTCCAGGGCCCCATTGATGAGTGACACAGCACCGCTGCATGCTAATCCGGCCGCGTTTGAAAAGACACCACTTGCATTCTCTGGCAACAAAAAAAATTGCGCAACACCTCACAAATTCCGGGCTCTCTTTACAGGGCGGCGGGCCTGGCTGAAATACTCAGGAGTCATTGAAGGTTGCCCTTCAGCTTAGAGTAGCCACCAAACAGTCATTTGTGTGGGTGTAAACGTCAATTAAATGAAAAGATGAACTTCTGAAGATTTTTGAAAACTGAAAATCTTGAAAATGGTTTGTATGTGTGCAGTGAATTTTTGAAAGCACCCAGCAGCAAGTGGTTAGAAACGAATGTAGACTAAAGATTAGGCCCTCAGTGATATATTTAAATATTAATGAAATGTTAGATAAGTATTTGGCACAGAATAGATTATATGTCCAAGGATATTTTCTCTAGGGGTGTCACTGGAGAGGTGACAAGATGTGAGACTCTGTTGATGTTTAATAGTGTGCTGGATTCATTGAACTATTATAAAGCAACAAGAAATATATTCATTTCTATAATTATCTAAAGACAGCTGTCACAAGTACACATTGAGATGATACAGAAACTGGAATAACAACAGTAGATATCAGAAAATGTGAACATTTTAATATAAGAAACAGGATTGTGGTTTTATTACAATTTTCCGAACCCTTTGTTTGGAATAGAAGAGTCACACAGACCACCATATGCACATGGCTATTGCCTCCAGCCCTTGTGTCCTTTCCATGCAACATATACAGTGACACCACAATGTATTGGTTTTTTTGTAATATTGTACATTTCAACTTTTTTACAGTTTAAGATGCAAGCTCCCCATATCTTCCACATTAAAGTGAAAAAGTAAGAAAGCCAGAAAAAAAAAACAATTCAAAAACAAAAACAAATGCCTCTCCACAAAGCCCATCTGTGACATGAGGATGATGACTAGAAATGCTTCTCCTCTCCCTTTTCAAAGAACTGGATCAGTCCCCATAAGATGACAAATAAAACATACTTTCCGCACAAATTTAGCTCCAAGAATGCATGCAAAAGTTAACTGTTAATTAATCATTCAAAAAATTGGATCATGAAGAAAATTCTCAGTGACTTTGGGGGATGTTGGGTTACCACTGTGCAGGCATGCATAACACATTGATATCACTTTAAATAAAAAAGTAACACAGAAAAGACCAAACCAATGAAAAAACAACAAAGAAAGAAACACCCCCCCAAAAAACACACAGAAAACATGGTAAAAATCATACTGTAAAAATTAAGTAAAAGAAATAACCCAGATAGCTACAAGTACCAAAATCTACAATCACTGTGAGGTACACATCTTAAAAAAGTCACTTCAAATCACTGCTCATTTTGATTATTGAAGGTGCACTGCATTAGAGATAAGCTTAGGAAAAAAGCATAACTTTTGTCAAATGAACACCAATAACATTGAGCCGTGAATAACAAGTCTTCCTCAACAGTCCTTGAAAAATAAAAATGGCATCAAGTTTGTTTTATCTTTTTTTTACATTAAATTGGTTGCTTAAAAGGCACGTAAATCTGATGACAGTTTCCAACAGTTTAATTTTAGAAGTTTTATTTTAGAACTATGAAAAACTGACCAGACGACTGCTTCACAAATTGCAATTCCCTACTTAAAAACCTGCAGCACGAGAATTCTTGAAATAAATCCAAACACTCATGACAAACCCAAATACACAAGAAAATGAAATAGAAAATTAGAAATGTTTTGACAGAGCATGAAAAGTGTAATTTATGAAAAAAATAGAGCTTTATACACCATAAATGACCCTTGCATTAAGGTGTAAGGTTGTATTGTTTGAAGTATTGAGAAAGGTGTTTGACAAAGCAAATTTGAAAATCCATGTGTGGTGGACATGCATTTTTTTATATAAAATTTGGTGTCAGATTTTCTCATACATTTAGGGGGCCTAGTGGTTAGGGTTCGTAGCTTCTGATCATAGGGTCAGGGGGTTGAATCCAGCTGGTGGCAGCATGTTGTGAATTTGGGCAAGTCACTTTACCCCTATGTGCCTCTCTCCACCCAGGAGGAGTAAATGGGTACCTGTGAGGGCAAACACGGTTGTTTAGCTGTTTGCCCCGAAATGGCAGCACTGGGCTAGTATACTCCCCAGGGAGCTGAGATGGTTTCAGGAATGTTCAGATGATGTGAGCCCAATGTGCAGGAATAATGAAAACACAGTGCCTCGGAATAGTTTGCTAGATAGATGGCGCTTTAAAAGTGCTTAATATTATTGTTACATTGAAATCATTTCATATTCCACATTCTGACTTCATATCTATTTTTGAAAACATAAAAAAGTTAAAAACTAAATTGAGGTTGCTATATAGCACTAATCTGTGAACAATGCAGACCACATTCCTTTCTCATGCACTCCATCACTTACTCAAGATTAAAGTTAAGAAACAAATCACATCATCTGCCATTCTGAGCTGAAGCTGTTTGGATTGGCTTTCAAAAGCAGGGGGGAAACAATGCACATAAAACAATTGTAAGCAGACTTATTCTTTCTACAAAAATGTCATTCAATGATGCATATGCCCGGGTGAATCTTTCACGTTGCAAACAAATCCCAAACCATCTCTCAATATGATACGGTCTGTGATAATTTGGAAGAGGAATGAAGCATTTTAATTCATGTGTTTTGTACAATGTTATACAGTAATGTACAATACTCTGAGGCTTTGCATTCTGACACAATCCAACTACTGCTCCAAGCATTCATGTAAATCCAGGAGGAGGGGGTAATACATCCCTACCTTTTAAATGGGGGGATGGGCTGTTGTATCATCCCCCCCCCCACTGTTTCCTTGTAAGAAATACAATTAAGCCGTATCGTTAAGAATGTTTCATACTTTCCAACAACCAAAATGTATTCAACAGCACTCAAAAAGGAGAATTTTTTAAAAGCCATAAAAATGCCGTTCTGATGTAAGGTTCTGCATGAATGTAATGCATCTTACAGATGTACATCTGTATTATGAACATCGTCCGCTAGAGAGTGTCATATGGTGTCAGCACCCCCCCATTTGAAGTATTATTATTATAATGTCTTATACATTTATGAAAGGAGGTTCATGTAGCTTTGTGATATAAATGCATAGCTGCTGCATTCTTTGCAGGTACATAGCACACACTGTGCATACCAGTGCATGGCTGTGGTGCAAATATATATTCCATTCAAGTGGCACTGCCTATTGACACAAAATCCTCAGCATGAAGTCAACTACCAAGGAGGCAAAAAATACTTTAATTCATAAGAACCATCAAATTCTTTCTGTGAAGTGATACAACAGGTTATGTCTTCTATTCCACAATCTCTATGAACCTAAAAGCAGCCTTCAGATTTGCATTTGGCCCAATTACTGACTACAGCCCAATTATCATGTTTCTGGTCATAGTCATGAAAACAAATCCCTCAATGCTGGAAATGTAAGAGACCAACGACTCTGTAACTATGTCTTTGAGTCATGTCTACATTTCTATGGGCTTGTGGTATAATTATAAGAGATACAGGTGAGGAGACAATATCAAAGCCTTTGATATGGACAAGACTAATTGCAGTAATGAATGGAACAAATCAGTACATTCATCAAACTTGCATAAGCAGGCAGCTGGCCAGACGAGTTGGGAAATACACTTTAGGATAGTAAAGGGAATTAAATTTGATTCACAAGATGTTATGCCATGATAATATGATCCAAGGGAGCTCATATGAGAAGTACACAGGGAACAAAAAGAAGGCACAGTTTTTCTAACATTTTTTATTTTGCATGGGAACACTACAACCTGAAAGGTTTTAAAAACACTTATGAGCCTGAATATGGAAGTAATGTTTAAACCTGTATTTAAATGATGTTAGACAAAAGTCCCACTGTTGCCAGACATCAAAATTTCACCCAGAGATATGAGCAATAGGTTTTACTGTAGATACTGCTTATTTTAAAATGCTAAAGTTATTTCTAATCTTCAGACCCAAGGCAGGCAATGCAATTTGTAGTGTCTTTGGTGCTTCTCTTGTTTACGATATCTACTCTATTTTTCACCTCCACGAGGAAGTTTTGTACACCCACATTACTGTTGACACAAAAAGGGTCTACTCCTTGTTACATCCGTTTAAAAAATATGCATTATGGTTTCAAACTATGTAATATTGAAAAAAAAAGGTACACAACAGTCCAAAACTTCATTTTAACTGTATGAATCATAAAATTGCATTTAACAACATAAAATCAATTGCAAATCACTGTAGGCGACTCAGAAAGGATAGGATTTGGAAAGGTGCCAAACTGACACTTATCACATTTTGGAAGTACATGCAAATCTGTCACATGTATTTATTATTTTACGAAGCATTTGTCTGAAGCTTATTGGTTGCCATTTATTGTAAGTCAATGGGGGCAACTACACTAAGGTTTGACCAACATACAGACAGATGTACCATACCAGTGTTTCCTACAGAAAGAATACAATTCTAGACTTCTAAGTGGGTGTTTGGAGCAATTGCTTACACAAAATTTATGTGGTTATTCCAATTTTGAGTCTGAGAGGATACATGTATGTGGTGATATTTGTCTAAGTGAGGAAAGAACAAAGTATGTATGCAAACACTACTTGAATTTCAACAGGGTATGAGAACTGCAGGCTCATTGAAACTACAATCATCAACAATGATGTGTGGGAGAAGGAGCAAAACAGCCATGCAACTTACACATGGAAAGTAGAAACAACTAATCCAGCATCAATGGGACAGGGGAGGAGAGACATGATGGTGCTTCTAAAATGCTTCAGCTCATTAAATGGACTGAACAGCCCATTACCAACCGCAGAAGGATATTTGCACCAATACATTATTTTCAGCAAGAGCTAGCTGGCAACTATCTTGATCATATGTCTTCTGGGGTACAGACATAAACATGTATGTACTACACAATGACAGTAAAAACCTATGACAAAAAGTTCAAAGACCATCAATACACAACTGCCCTTTTCCCTATGTCGCAGTGAAGAAATGCTATAAACTGCTGGTAAACTGTGCACCAGACCACGCAACATGTATCAATCTTGATTTTAAAAATCACTTTTATGATCAATTCTGCGTAATTCAATTTTGCATCTTTTGCAACAATGTTCATTTTCTTAGAAATATATAAAAATGATTAGCTAAATCACAATACTTAATACAATCACTTGAGTAAATATCTGGGACTTTAAAATTACCAAATTAATCCACTCAAACACAGTCACAGTAACGAGCAATGAAATGAAATTCCCTTCCTGGAAACTGGGAAACACGGTCATGTCACATCACATGATTAAACTAAATCAACTACCTACTGCAGTAAAACCAACACAACATTCAAATGCATCTTTTAAGGCCTCGATCAATGAATGAAGCAAACTGAATGATCTTGTTTCTGAAACATTTTGAGGTGCTGAAACTGAGTACGTCCAAAGTGGGTGAAAGGAAAATTTGTTTGAGTGGTGTGTTGGATAACAGAGGCAGTTGATAGGACATACATGTAAATGAGATAAATATATAGAGTACCTCTAGTTCCTGGTGACCAGGTAAGCAACAAGAAGCAAACACAATAAAAAGTGGTTAATTGTCACCTCTATAATTTCAATAAGAGAGGTCAGAACTATTGTAATTTTTCTACGGCACCTTAATACATTTAAAACAAGTTGAAAATGTAGCAGTTATCTTTTCACTTACTACAAATGTTGAGTACCAACTTTTTTACTTTGGTATTTAGGGGTGTGACAACTTGGGATATTTCATGATTTCTCAGCGTCCTTCATCAAAAGAAGAAAGATTGTGGAGGTTTAATCATATATGTTTTTCTACTTTTTCCCCCACACAGTGCAAAAAACAAGTGTAACATTCACATTAACTAATTTCCAATGAAAAAAAGCCTTGACAAGAATATAATATCAAATCAGTGCTCTTACACGCTTCTATTTTTATTACGTGAATTGTTCAAATCCCTCTGCTGGGCTCAAAACAGATTTCTTTACTATTTAAATGTGTGATCTTTATAATATCTGCCTTCTAGGAGCATAACTTTTACAGAAATATGAATTCAAGAATGTTCCAGATTATATTTTAAAAAAAGACGTCACTTCATGCACAGTGCCAATTTCTTGTAATAGGTAAAATGTATCACCATATACCAGCAGAGTATTATTTGTCAATTTTAAGTGGGAAAGACTGAATAATATTTGATGGATAGACTTAACATAAAAACAAAACAGCATGTAAACGGTAGAGTAGGTCAAGGTTATTTTACATTAAAAATGGTGGGAACATACATTCCTTGAAATGCGACAGTGTTTGTTACAATCTTAAAAACAAAATCAGCACAGAAACAGCAAAATATCTGTATAACACAAACAAGATGATAAATCCTTAGAGTGTAGTAATTGGGAAATGTGAATTGATTTGCATACAAGAAATCAGGTTTTGAAGTTATGCTCCTTAGCAACATCAACAGCTAAATTTTCATGACGTCATACAGTCCGTGGTTTTGCTTATGCTGCCATGCATGGCAATGCATGCAAATACACATACAAGCACGGTTTGTTCGTTGTCGCTGTAAAATGGTGAAGGGTTGCTGTGCAGTAGGGTGCCATAATTGTAAGATACTTCAAAAGATCTGCATTCGATGCGAAAACTGGACTCAAACTCACACACGCAACTCTCCAGTGTTCACTCCGTTGCAGGTAGACCAAGTGGTACTAACGTTAGTACAGTTCCCTAACTTGGTGCACTTCAGAGTTTCCACTGACTTTTGTCCCATATTACTGCCAAAGCTTTGAAATATATCATGCTCTGAACACCATAAGTAGCAGTTTCGGAAAATATGATTTCTTTCATGGGATTCGTCTTTTTCTTCTCAAATATTGATCCAATTTGTGTGTTACTATGCAATGTATGCACCTCTCATGAGTTGGCTTGACAGCCAATATGGCAGGCACGTCGAAAGTCGCGTCACGTCAGTGAATAGCCTCTATAAGAAAACTGCTCATATTATTTGTCCAATAACCAGTAAATAGCATTGAGCCAAATTTCATATACATGCAAAATAGAAGCTAAATTTTGTCCAAACAGCACAGACCCATTGCATGATGCATGTTTAGGATTAAGCACACTTACAGTCAAACCTGTGACATCAGCAAAATGTGTTTTGTAGTCTTGTGAATCCTAAAAAAAATGGAGGCCCTAAGTATTTTTGCAGACTCATTTTTGTCATTTTCCAATACTCCACTGCATCTCAGGCTTCATCTCAATATCAGTCCCTGATTGCATTCCTAAATTTTCAAGTTAAATTGAAGTGCTGTAACATTTAGCTCTTTTGCATCTTATTTGATGTCCTTGTGGCATTACTGAACTTACTTTTGAGCGAACAACTGCAAAGTTAGGTGGTAAAAACAGATGTAAAATAACAGCCTGAAATGGGGATTCAAGTATTGGAAATGGAAAGTCAAGTTTTGGAAAACAACCTAGAATTGCAAAATTGTTGGAGTTTTGATTTTTCTGGAGAAGATGACTAAAATGCAACTTTGATTGCCTTACTTTACATTAATGAAACTGAAGTTGCATTTTAGTGGAGAAATGGGGTTAACATTAATTTAAAAGATATTCTGATGTGCAATTGCAGCAAAAGGCCAAAATGGCAAACAGAGATTCTGGTGCTGTAGCCAAACCACTAAAGGCACTGCAGCCAAACCACTGAAGGTACTGCAGCCAACCTACTAAAGGCACTGCA